TATTCATTCATTGTGTCTTTCTGCTCTATATATATCAAATTAAATCAATAATATTAGGACAAATAATATGCTAACCTATCAATATAAAAATAAAAGGAAACAAAAAAATAACTATCATTTAATTTAATTAAAGAAGTCACTTTACACAAGACACCACTTGGCTGGCTTGACGCCTTGATTGAAGGAGACTAGTGCCAAGTCACTAAAAGAAAAATATGTAATTATTATTGCATAGCCTGATTTAGTGGTTAATAAAATTAAAAAAAAAATATAAGCAACTAGAGTTTAAATTTCGTGGTAAAAAAACATAAAGTGCTTTCTGTAATCGCTTAAGTTTTGATGGATAGAATACTAAGTTCTTGTTAAAAATTATTAGGTAAGAAAGAATAAATTGGGAAATGACATTGTATAACCGCTCTGAAAATAATAGTCAGAAATATATATATTTTGTATATATATGCATTATATATATTATATACAAAAATTATATAAATTTTATACACTTTTTCGGCTATCGAAGATAAATAATTTTTGGCGTAGCTAAAAGTAATAATACGCCGAAGAAATACCGGTATGGTATGACTTGATATTCCTTTCTTTGGACTATTAGTTAGATAGATATTTTCAATTCCCCGCGTTGCATTGGCTGATAATTAATATCCTATATAAATTTCTTCTTTTTTCTTTTTATGTGAATTGATAGTTAATTGTTAGAAAATTGAAAAGAAAGAAACAAGGTTCTGGAATATTTCATGCAACTCTTGCCAAATAAAATATGCGTATTTTTGTGTCTTACGAAAATACTTCTATTGGAATTGTGTTCTAATACTGCATCTAATCAAGTATAGCAAACTTCTTATATTGTTATATTTTAGCATAATATTGAGAAAAAAAAACCATATTTAAAGTTCAATTAAAAGGATGTTTGACTTTTGAAAAATTTTCATAGTATTTTGTTTTTTGTCTTGTTTCTGTCATTAATTTACACCTTTACGCGTATGTGTGTACATGCACACATGAATCATGATTGATTAGAATATTAAAGGAATTCAATAAATGGAACCATACTTAATAAAAGTTAAAGCAACAAAGTCTGATGGGTTCTGGATTATAGAATGACGATTTGTACCGGATAGTGGGTTCTAAATTTAATATGTACACATATTTAACAAATTTCTTAATACAAATATATTATTTGGGCAAAAGCTACTGGTTTCGATCAGATCCGTAGCTTGACTTTTACCTCCACCCTGCTTATAAACTTGAAAGAACTTACCCGTCGAAAGTATAGTGGATGGATGAACCAGAGACGGAGCCAAGATTTCAAACTTATATATTCGGATCCTAATCCTTCTAAATTACTGGGTTCCAAATCAATAATTTATACATATTTAATAAAAATTTTAAGACAAATACATAATTTGAACCAAAATTACTGCGTTCGGCCGACCCGTAGCCGATACTGTAGCTCTGCCTCTTGCATGAATCCTCTAGCTATCCTTAACCAGAAGAGCAGGATTCGAGTATAGTAATAAAAAATAATTGTTGACATGACATTTTTCCTTTGATGACACTTATACATGACGTGAATCTGAATTATCATATCAATGATTTTGGGATACCAGACAATTATAAAAAGCAATAATTTTATATTGAAAGTCAAGTATGAATAGTGAACCTCAAAAAAATCTTAGACATTTCTACATTGCCGACTGCACATTGAAGAGATATTTTGAGGTTCCAATGCAACGTTGTTCATCTTAAATTCTTATGATATTTTTAAGAATTTAAATTTTATGCGCTGATAATATAAAAAATATTTATACAATCAGATTAGTTAGAAGTCATAATCATTCAGAGGCAGATTCAAAGGGTATTGTATTATTGATGCGTTTTTTAGTTATCTTGGGGAAGAAGCGAATTTATAACTTTGAATTTTTATGAAAAAAGGCACTTTAATTTAATGAGTGAATAAATTATTTACGTACAGTCAAACTTCTCTATAACGGCCTCGTTTGTTCCGATATCTTTTGGCTTCTATAGTGAAGTGTTGTTACAGAGGACATAGATTATAACATAACATAAAAATTAATTTCAAGAAAAACTTGAATTTTATAGTGAATTGTTGTTATATAAAGATGTTGTTATAGAGATGTCTGATTGTGTTCAGCAGATTTTCTAGTACAAATACAAAATTTGATCAAAATTATTACGATTTAATTTAGAGAACTTATCATTAGAACTTCAGCTCCGCCGCCACTAGAGGGAAAGTGTGGAAACATTATAGATCCTCCTAAATTAGGAGGGATTTAAAATTTAAGAAAAAAAACTACTTTTGTGATCTAAATTTGTTCCATTATAAAGTTCCAAAGCTTCTACTTTTGTTATAAAAATTTCTAAAATTTTCTTTTTGAGTCAATTCGAAATGTGAAAGGGGAGAAAAAGAGAGGAAAATAGAGTGCGACAGCAATGAAAACACCCTGTACGAGAGAGATGGATTTTGATAGCTCTTTCCTTTTTTTCGTTTGGACATTACATTTCAGTAATTTCAACTATATTCTTAGATGTGAATTTTTTCTTTAATTTATAGAAATCTTTTTAAAATTTTATTTTGGAGTTGAGTGACTTTTATTTTCTTTCTTGTAATTTACTTTTGCTGAATTTCAAGTTGAATTTTTCATTGATGAGTTTCATAAATCATACCTACCACCAAAAAATGTGGTGAGATAATCGAAATTGCTATACTCTTATCCAGATATCTTGAAGAGATTTTTTCTTTCCTATACCATATATGAAACCTTATTACCAAAAATGTTCATAGTTTCTAATTTACCCGCCCTATCCACATTTTTTCTACAGTTATTATACCAATCATTAAATACTAATTAATAGTAGCTGAATCTTCCTAATTTGTCGAGCTAAAATTGAGGAACAGAATATTCTAAAAAGATCTGGCGTAAATCAGATCAAATCATATTCTTCTAGATATTCCTATTTAGGCGCGCTACAATTATGGAAGTAAATATTCTTCCAGATATTTTCCACCATTGATAGCCATTAAAAAGCTTGAAAGCTTTGAATTCAAATTTGGATTTTCGAAAATCATTATTTGTTTGGATTGGGTGTTATTGAAAATAATCGGGAATATGGTTTGGAGTTTATATCTCAATTTTGAGGGTTTTGGTGAAGATTAGACTTGGTTTTGACTGAAATTCAGATTGAAACTCGAAGAAGAAGAAGAAGACATATTGCAGAAATTGTAGATAAATTATAGATTATTTGTATTCTGATTGTAGATGCTTTATTTTCTGTTTTCACAAATAAAAAACGGCTAAAACTTCTACAAATCTTCTGAAAAAATGTAATTATGTCAAAAATCACAATTATGCTATAATTGGATGGGAATTGATATAAAAATTCAATGTACCCAGTTTGTAGATATTTTGTAGATAAATTGTAGATTATTTGTATTCTAATTGTAGGTGCTTTGTTTTCTGTTTTCACAAATCAAAAAACGACTAAAACTTCTACAAATCTTCTGAAAAAAATGCAATTATGTCGAAAATGCCAATTATGCTACAATTGAAATGGGAATTGGGATATTAAAATTCAGTGTATCCAGTTTGTAGATATTTTGTAGATAAATTGTAGATGCATTTTTTCTGTTTTCACAAATCCAAAACGACTAAAACTTCTACAAAATCTTCTGCAAAAAACAGTCTACAATTTATCTACAATTTATCTACAATTTCTGCAATATGTCTTCTTCTTCTTCTTCGAGTTTCAATCTGAATTTCAGTCAAAACCAAGTCTAATCTTCACCAAAACCCCTCAAAATTGAGATATAAACTCCAAAATATATTCCCAATTATTTTCAACAACACCCAATCAAAACAAATAATGATTTTTGAAAACCCAAATTTGAATTCAAAGTTTCAAAGCTTTTTAATGGTTGTCAATGGTGGAATTGCTGCTCTCTTGTCTCTTTGAAGGTTTGTTCTTCTTCATTGAGAAAATTTGAAGCTGAAGGTAAATGTGTGTATGAACTTTAAAGATTTGACTTCAATTTTGATGAACTTTGTTGTTCTTCATTGATGAACTTCAACTGGAGTAAAATGGGGAACCAACTTTGTTGAAGGGTTTCTTCAATTTTCTGTGAATTTAGAGGGAGAATTTGGTTTCAGAAGATGGAAAATGGTAAAAAGAACGTGGGTATGGGTAAAACGTGGGTGGGACTGAGGGGTTAGGAGAGAGAAACGTGCAGATTCCTTTAATTAAGGAGTAAAAAATGTACAATTAATTATACCCTTAATTAATTATAGTATAGAATTGGTAATTTGATATACTAAGTGTAATTAAGTCAAACCTTAAACATTAAGGGTAATAAGGTTTCCTATGTGGCATAGGAATGTAAAAATCTCTATTTTGAATTCGAACTCTAACAATGAGAACACCTTAGTAAGGAGCGCTTTCATAGTAAAAATTTACGCCCACTCAATTGTTACCTTTAATGAGCTTACTTATGCGAATCTAAATTAGTCAAACGAACACTGCATATCTAAAGCAAAAAGTTTAGCATTCGATTGGATGTCCTATCCAACATTCTAGCCACTCAGTTTGCAAAGATATGCTAGAGCTCAAAACGACCGAACGAAAACGACCGAACGAATCGTTACTCCTGCCTTTTTAGAGAATAAGAACCGATCAATGATTATATTCTGCAAGAAGTAAAATTCTTTAAAATAATGTACAAAGTAACCCGACCGGTCGGGTTGTTGTTGTTGTTTCCGAAAATTAAACTAGTGTTTGGCCATATTCCGAAATTTGCTTTAAACAATTTGAGTTTGGTGAAGTTTGGTTTGAAAATGAAAATCTGTTTGGACATAATTTTTCAAATAAGATTTCACTATTTTTCTTTTTTGAAAAAACATGAAATATGACTTATACCTATAAGTTCTAAAATCTATCAAAAATACCCAACAATATCAAACAAATAAACAAACTTGCTAATCCTGTATCAATTCCATTCATTATCATTATCACAAACCATAGTCCTAAACATAGATAAGTTTGGCACAAACTTATCATTTTTATAATGAACTACATAATACACTATCCTAAATCCATAACCTGATATTTTAATATCAACTGCTAATAACACAATTACTAACCACTATAATTCATCATATTGCAATAATATTACAAGATCCATCAGTCCAAAAGAAAATGATAGTAATTAGCTGGTGGTTAGTTGGGTCATAACAGATGGTGGTTTTATTTTTATTTTTTTTATTTTTTTAAATAAAATACAAAAGTTTGGGGTAATTTTGAAATTGTTAAAAAATCAAACAGTGATATTTTAGGCCAAAACAGGTCTAAAGCTAGTTTTGGGATTTGGAACTTTTGTTTTCAAAATCTGCCAAAACATGGATAAAATCTATAAACAAACCAAAATTTTTTTTGAAAAAAGCTTGACAAAATCTATGGCCAAAGGAAGTCGAGATGTATTAAGAATCTGAAAAATTGAGAACTTTGCTAGGCAGGTACAAAGCAAGTGTAATTATATTATTAACTGGGAGCCTCCCCCACTAGATGTTTCGTCATTCCATTTGTAGCTGTGCTCTTACCTCTATGACATTCATGTCCATCTCCTTTGTTCTTGTGCCTTTTCATTTTTGACTGCCTGCAATGTCTAATGACAGGACTAGGTGTCAAATGAAGAATTTCATGAATCCATTCATTGTACAAAGGCCATCAAGTTTTACGTACAACATAGCAGAAAACGGTCAGAAGCTATTGACTGCATCTACATTGTCAAGCTCTCTGGGTTCTCGACAATATTTGAGAATGTTTGAAGGAAGGCTGCCAAGTCAGCACCATAAATAATCCGGTGATCTGCCGTGACATTCACCTGTATAACATAATAAGGAGGGTTAGCTTAAGAACGTTATGTCACGCAATTTTATAGCAGGGCCTCGGTTAAGCTTCAAAGCGTGTCTTTACTTTACATTCAAATGATTGTACTTGAGATTAATTAAGATATCAGTAGTTGTAATGTACTCTCTTTCAAGCAACATAGCCAGCATAAAATTGGCCTGTACCAAAGAGCCAAATATCATTACGCTCATGCCTAAGTTTGCAGTTCGAGAAGACTCCATTGAAGAAGCAGAGATATAGGACTCATCCAAGAAATGTACAAGCACAAGGAATAACCAATTAATAAATGGTCTGATGATGCATGTAGTAGATCGGTGAACCAACAAGACACAGTGCTATATCTTCTAGCTTTATGTATATACAGGATGAGTCAAAAGTGTAATTAGACAGGACTAGATGTCTAATCGATGACAATTCAAATATCTAGACTCCGCCATTTCAAAAGATAGAAGAATATGTAACATATATAACTGAAAATAGTATGACCAAAATTGAGAAAATGCAACAGGAATGCTATACGATATGAAAATACCTCTCCAAATGAGAGGCAAGATCTACATACCAATACTATATGGGAGTATGTTTCTCACCTCTAACGGCCATCACTTACTACAAGGTGAGTATTGTAGAAATTAATGTTAAGATGCATGCATGATGATACAAGATTAGATTATATCAGAAATGACCACATGAAATAGAAGGTGCAAATAGCATTCAGACACCACATAAGGGATAAATAGAACCTCCTCAAAGGAGCTAAAATGTGAGAGCAAATAAGAGATTCCTAAAACTTGGAGAACTAAAATATGCATACAATGCTAACCTACTACAACTATGTAGTAGGTTAGCAAAACCCATATAAAATTATTTTTCACTTTCACTTTTATTTTGTATTTTGTAATGATGATGATATGAGTTGAGCTTAAAGAAACAAGTGAGGATCCATATCGCTAACCCAACTTGTTTGGGACTGAGGCGTAGTTGTTGTAATAAATTATGCAATCATAAGGCCACTGATTTCACAAATGCGGAGCAGACCATGGACCATGATCACGAGATAAATAAAGGAATTAGTGAAAAAATCGGACCACTCTACCAAACACATTTAGACTATGAGTAGAGTAGCCCAAGAACGTTATAGACCTCCCTGAACGCCCTTTTAAAACTCATGTAGGACAACTATGTAATGCAACGGATAAGAATAGGAATGAACTACTGAAGTAGAAGAAAAGCAGGGCTATGTCAGGATGAATGTGGGTAATAGATCTTTGAGGATATCTCATTGATAACACTTAATTATTTCATAAGCTCAATGTGTGATTTTCAGAGAATCAGAATTTTAATTAGAAGTTAACGAGTGGAAACAATATACAAGACAAACGAATGAAGTTTATTGAAAAAGAATTTAAATAATGAAACAAGATATGAGACCCATAATAGAAGAAAGAAATACAAGGATAAAGCAGTTATTATTAAAATCTTCTCAAAGCCGCCAAACGTTGAAGAAAAACAAGTAACAGGATTTTCTATTGCAATCACCTGAAGGAAGGCCAAGGCTTCTTAGATCTCAATAGGTAGATAGTGAATGTAATACATTCTGTTTTCCAACTTTCAACATTCAAGGGGAAAATATAGTAATGGCTTTCACCACAATTTAGATCAAAACTAAACAAATTTAGTTTTTGTGATGGGTCATGCAAGTTATGCGAGAAACTTAAATAAAATAAGAGGGAGCATTTATATAACTAAAACTCGTTTTTGATTTTCCGTCTCCTCCAACAAAACACTCTCTAAACCAACCAACAAAAGAGAGGAAGAAACAAAGGGTTTTCATGATTGACTTCATCAACAACAGCTTGAACACAGGAACTGGATACAAGACATACCAGCATCTTATTTTTGACAGAGAAGAAACCTTCAGAGTCGGAGACAACAGTTGGTTTTGATGCTCCAACAGCCATAATAGCCCCCTGAACGTTATCCCAGTTTCAGAATAGTTGCTACTTCCTAAGAACAGGATGACTTGTAAACAGAAATAGAAGAAAATGGTACATCTAATTTCTAACCTGACCGGGAGGAAGAATAGCATCAAATCTGTCCACACCAAACATGCCTAAGTTGGACAACGTGAAAGTCCCTGAAAACAAAACCTTTCAATGTCAGTACTCAAAGATCTCACTGAATGAATTAGCTACAGAGGTTCACATTCAAAGACAAACAAATCAAATAAAGCATATTGTTACCTGAATTGTACTCGTGTGGCTGAAGTTGCTTAGCCCTAGCCTTGTCTACCAATTCCTTCCACTTTTGAGACAATAGATAAAGATCCAACTACACCAAGGTAACAAAACGATAAGCATTATATCACTAAACTTTACATCTTTCTCGAGCTCACTAACCAACCCATGCGAATAGAGAATGTTGCTTCATTTAGAAATAGAGAATGTAATTCTACCTTGTCAGCATCCTGAAGCACTGGGGTGATCAATCCACCATTAATTGCCACAGCAACAGCAATATTAATACTGCTATTATAAGTAAAGCTCTTCCCGTCTTTACAAGTGGCGTTCACAACCGGATGTTGAGCCAGGGCCACTGCTGCAGCTTTAGCTAACAGTGCAGTCATTGTAACACCTTTTGGCTTAACCTGTTATTAATTGAATTCCAAAGCATGTCAAGCCCAGAACGTAAAGGCAAATAGGTATCAGTTCATTTGCCATTTCTATGAATTTTCCACCACAACATTTGATGCATCAACATAATACAGTAAGACCTTTCTATAACAACATCGCTATAACCGATTTTTATGCTATGTTATAACATGTCATTTATTACAGTAGCTCACCATAGCAGCAAAAGAATATCGGTTCAAATGAAGTTGTTATAGAAAGGTTTGACTATAGATTAACTTACCTTTTCATACAGCGCATCAAGGGCGTTGGTACTAACTGGATATCCAACACGGAATGTGGGAACAGAGAGGCTCTCCATCATATTCTTTGATACTGCAATTTGCATTGTGGTGAAAGGAACAACAGTCGACCCTGGAATGTCAGGAAAGCTAGTGGGATACGCTTTTGCAGGAGCAGCCGCAGCCGGGATCGGAGCAGCTACTGCAGTTGCAGAAGGGATGCTTTTAGGAGTAATCCCTGCGGCCTTCTCGACATCCTCCGGGGTAATCCGTCCAAATGCCCCCGTCCCAGTCACTTTGTTGATATCAATTTCGTGCTGCTTCGTTAACTTCTTCGCATAAGGCGTGGCGACAATCTTAATTGGTGGTCCATCCAACGGAGGTGGAGGTGATGGTGGAGCAGCAGCATCAGTGGTAGTGGTAGCAGCAGGAGAGGTTTCTAGTTTGGATTGGCCTTTGGCTCTAATCTTAGCTTCGGCAATTTCATCTTCAGTCTCAGCTAATAGCCCAATAGGAGCGCCAACAGGAGCTGTCTCGCCGTCGTTGACAACAATAGCAGCGAGAATGCCACCGTAGAATGTCTCAACGTCCATGTCAGCTTTATCAGATTCGACAACCACCACAGATTCTCCTTTGGAGAGGACGTCACCCTCGGACTTAGTCCAGGAGACAATTTTGCCTTCGGTCATGGTAGAACTGAGAGCGGGCATGAAAATCTCACGGATCTTCGATTGGACAACGGGGAGTTTGTATTGGCGAGGGAATGCCGCCGCCGTCGCCGCCGCGGAAGATCGGAGGGAAGAAGGAGAAGAGATTGTGGAGGAAAATGAGAGAGCTGGGGACTTGGATTGGAGAAGCGACGCCATTGGAAATGCCGAAGTGATTTAGAAGAATTAATTTAGTTAAGCTCGTATATATATGTGAAGAAGAGAAAGAAGAAAGGGGCGGAGAAGACGAGGAACGGTTATTTCGTTTGGACATTACATTTCAGTAATTTCAACTACTCCCACCTGTCTCATATTAATAATAGTCGTTGCTTGCCAAAAATAGTTATTTCATTTTAGAAGTTGTCTTAAAATAGTTGTTCAACATAAAATTGATAATTTTTTTGCCTGTTTTAACTTTAGTAATAATTATTCTTAAAAATGGAGATAACAAATAAATAAAATAAATATTCAATGAAAAAAGATTATATCTTAAGACATAAATAAGGGTAGAACAGTCCAATCCCTTTCCTAATTAATATTTCTTAAGAGATGTGTAAAAAAGAAATACGACACATAATATGAGACAGAGGGAGTATATTCTTAGATGTGAATTTTTTCTTTAATTTATAGCAATCTTGTAAAAAATTTATTTCGGAGTTGCGTGACTTTTATTTTCTTTCTTGTAATTTACTTTTGCTGCATTTCAAGTTGAATTTCTCATTGATGAGTTTCATACCTACTGTCAAAGGGTGTGGTGGGAAAATTGAAATTACTATATCCTTATTCAGATATTTCAAATTCGAGCTCCGACAATGAGAACACTTTAGTAGGGAACATTTTCATAGTAAGAGTTTACGCGCATTCACTTGTTACATTCGCGGCGATTTCTACAGTTTCCACCAAATGTAGTGCTATATGATGCCATTCGGAGTTGCTACCTACATTTCAGTGACGACCTCAATAGTTACCAATAAAAGTAGTGTTATACGTACCTAAAATCTATTTTATGGCGTATTTGTCTATTTTTGTGTCCGATCATAATCGTCATAACAACTAATGATAATACAACATAGGCGAATGTACATTCATATTGGTCCAAGCGTGGTGGAAAAAATTACATAAAAAGTATATGCAAAATAAATTTAAAAATAAGAATTATTTGAAAAAATATTTTAAAGAACAATGTATTTGGCTTCAGCAACTCAGTGTTACGTGCTCACTGAAGAACAAAATTAGTGCAGTCCTAAAGGATTGGGATGATGAACAATCCTTGAACAGATGTGCACGACCGAGCTGAGGAATAAGAATTGAAGAAGAATAATATGATTTATTGATAGAATACACAATTTCTCAGAGATGATTACAATCAATGCCCCCTTCCTGTATTTAACCTCCTATCCCCTTCTCTAACGAGTGCTAACTGATTAACAAGTTGACTCCAACGACTTCAACAACTATAACCGACTATCAACTACTTGTTATAGTGAAAAGACTAATATGCCCTTAGGCAAATACCCATGCAGCTATAGCTCATAACAAATTTCCCCACTAAAAGAGTCATTGTCCTCAAGGACTGAAATGAACCGTTGAGAGAGTAAATGAGTATCTTTCCAAGTGATGTCTTCCTCTAGGTAGTTGAACCATTTGATCAATACTTAGTCGACCTGCTTCCCTCTAGATTGGACTGACCTCCTGTCTAAAATAGCTTCAGGCTCTAAGACAATGTGGACATGAGTTGACAATGAGACTGGCAAGTCTAGAACAACAACCACATTCCCAATGTATTTCTTTAGTTGTGACATATGGAAAGTGTGGAGGATTTTGGCCTGGGGTGGAAGTTCTAATCGATAGGCGACTGTGCCCACTTTCTGCAGAACTTTGAATGGTCCAAAATGGTCCAAAGTATTTAGGATTGAGCTTGTGATAAGAGTGCCCTTTTAAGGACATTTGCATGTAAGGCTGTAGCTTGACAAAGACCAAATCCCCTACCTCAAGGCATCTGGGAGTTCTGTTCTTGTCAGCCTGGGCTTTCATCCTACATTGTGCTAGTTGCAGGTGATGCTTGAGTAGCCTAATAGTCGATTCTCTAGCCTACAAACTCCTATCCACTTGATCTACCATGGAATGATGAGCTACATAGGGTAAGTGAAGTGGGGTTTTTTTGTCCATACATCGCTTAAATGGAGTCATTTTGATAGCAGTATGATAGTTGGTGTTATACCACCATTCCGCAAGAGATAGCCATTGTATCCACTCTTTTGGCTTTCACTGCACATGCACCTGAGATAACCTTCTAGGCATTTGTTCATAGCTTCTGTTTGCCCATCTGATTAAGGGTGGTAGGCAGTGGAATGATGCAACGAACTCCTTGTTCTTCAAATAAAGCTTGCCAAAATTTGCTTAGCAATATAACATCTCGATCACTAACTATAGTTTGAGGTAGTCCATGGAGTTTATAGATATTGTCTAAGTAAGCTTGAGCCACTATAGGAGTTGTATATGGGTGTACCAATGCAATAAAATGAGTATATTTGCTTAACCTGTCCACTACTACCAAGATCACATATTTGTTGTGTGCCTTGGGAAAGCCTTTTATAAAATCCAAACTAATATCTTGCCAAATTTTCTCAGGAATAGAGAGTGGTTGTAGTAGGCCTGGGTATTTGATATTCTCCCCTTTGTATTTTTGACAAGTTTCACAGCTCTTGATGTGATTATAAATGTCTTGCTTCATCTTCTTCTAATAGTATAGTTGCCCAACCATGAAGATAGTGGCATCTATACCTGAATGACCCCTAACAGCTGAATTATGTAAATATTGTAGGACCTTCTCCTTGAGAACATGGTCAGGACCAATGACAATCCTTCCTTTCCTGTACAAGATTCCAGGATGTAATAGGTACATTGGATTAGACAAAGGCTCTGCTTGCAATTCAGTTAGCAGCTTCTGTATATGGAAATCCCCTGTATATGACTGTTGGACCTTTAGGAGAAAATCAAATGTGATAATAGTTAGAATCTGTAGCTGAACTTGTGCAGCAGGGCACCTTGATAAGGCATCAGCTGCTATGATGTCCTTCGCCTTTTTATAAGGTATAATGTAGTCATACTACATTAGCTTGTACAACCATTTCTGTTGTCTAGGAGTTGAAATCCTTTGTTATAATAAGTATTTGAGGCTCTGATGGTCTGTCCTAATGAAAAAATGTCTCCCAATTAGGTAAGGCCTCCATTTGTCAATGGCAGTAACAATGGCCAGCATCTCATTTTCATAGACTAACAACTGTTGATGTTTTGGACTCAAATCTTTGCTCATGTAAGACAAGGGATGTTCAGCCTACGATAACACTGCCCCAATACCCACCCCACATGCATTAGTCTCAATCACAAACTCAAAAGAGAAATCTGGCAATGCTAGTACAGGGGCATTGCTCAAAGCTTGTTTCAATTTCTAGAAAGATTTAGCAGCTTCTTCTGACCAACCAAACTTATCTTTCTTTAGGTATGGCCAATATTACATAGCTCTTGATAAACCTCCTATAATAACCAGTTAGACCTATGAACCTCAGAGTTTCTTAAGGTTTTGGAGTAGGACAGTCCCTCATTACTTGTACCTTGCCAGGATCAGTAGTCACTCCCTACTGTGTGATACTGTGACCCAAATACTCCACCTTAGGTTTTCCAAAAAAAAACTTACTGAGCCTCACAAATAGGTTGTGTTCTTGTAGGACATCAAAGGCTTTTTGTAGATGAACTAAGTGTTCAGACCATGAGGGGCTATAAATGAGAACATCATCAAAGAATACTAAGATGAAATTCCTTAGATAGGGCCAAAAGATCTTATTCATGAGGCTTTGAAAGGTTGAGGGAGCATTAGTGAGGCGAAATGGCATTACTACAAACTCATAACGGCCATTATAAGATCTAAAGGCTATCTTCTCAATATCCCTCTCATCCATCCTAATCTGATGATAGCCTGATCTAAGATCCAATTTTGAAAAATATTTTGATCCCCCTAATTCATCTAGCAGTTCTTCTATCACTAGAATAGGGAACCTATCTTTCACTATGCAGTCATTTAGCTTTCTATAATCAATGCAAAGCCTCCATATATCATCTTTCTTTGTAACAATAATAATAGGAGAAGAGAATGTGCTTACACTAGACCTAATGACACCGGATTCTAGCATCTCAATAAGCATCTTCTTAATTTCATCTTTTTGGCTGGCGGGGTATCTGTATGGCCTCATATTGATGGCTGGGACTCCTTCCTTCAAAATAATCTTGTCGTCATGAGCTCGATAGGGTGGTAGGACTATTGGGTCTCAAAAAGGGGTGCACACTATTGGAGCAGCTTCTGCAGATCCTCTAAACTCTGCACCTCTTGAGAATTTGATGTTACCTTTGTCTCTTGCACTGAATTTACTTCTTGAGAGGGTTGAATAAACACCATCTATATCATGTGAATTTGATTAGGCTTGTTAAGTAGTTTTTGCATTCAAACATCAGCTACTACTTTGAAAGCCCCAGGTTGACTACCTATCAAGGATGAGCCATTGAATGCCTAATACCACATCAGCTCCTCCCAAGAGAATAACCAACATATCAACTTTTAAATCCACTCCTTGCATCTTCCAAGTGACCCTTGCAGTCATCACAGAACTGTGAACCTTGCTGCCATCGGCTACAAATACATAGAAGGAGGGAATGGTTTCCAGCCTAAAATCCAACTTCTTGGCTACTGCTAGGTCCATGAAATTATGTGTGGACCCTGAATTGATTAGAACATGAACCATTTTCCTTTTAACACCCCCTTTACTTTCATTTTTCTGTACTCACTAGTTCCGTCAAGGGCATGAACAGAAACTTGAGGATTTAAGGTTGATCCCTCAGAGTTCTCATTATCCTCTAACTCAACTTCCCAAAGAGACTCCTCTATTTCCTCATCCAATTCTAAGATAAATAATTGCTTCCTTCGACTACACTTGTTCTCTGATGTATACTTTTCATCGCACTAGTAACAAAGGCCATTTGCTCTCTTATCGTCCATCTCCTTAGCTGACAACCTCCTTGATCATTGAAATGCTGCTTTACTGTGAATCTTGTTGAATTTTCTAGGCCCTGAAGTCCTGCTGCCTTCACGGCTTTGATTAAAATTGGACCCTCTAGAACTTGACCCCCACGTACTGCTAGGTGTAGTCAGTAGTGATCTCGAATTTCTCACCAATGATTGGGTGTAGTTTTAAAGATTGTTCTGCCAATCTTGATTGGTTATAATCTTTCATCAATGTTCTTGGTCCCAACATTCTTACTTGGACCTCAATCTCAGGTTTTAAATTGGCTAAAAAGATGCTGATGGAGTGCTCTTCCGCAGTTCTACTTTGTTCAGTAATTCATCGAATTTGTCAAGAAATTCTTGAACACTCCCATTCTGTTTGAACGCCACCAATTCAGCCATAGGATCTGCACCAAATCTCAAATACACTGCCCTAACATAATCTTTCCAATTTGGGAATCTCCCCATTCTGGGCTTCATATACATCTTGTGCCATTGAAGGGTCTTGCCTTCCATGTTAATAAAAGCAGCTTGAACCTATATTTTCCTCCGAAATATGCTCATAATCAAAAAATTGCTCTGCCTTATACAACCAATCATTAATATCTTCCCCACTAAATTTGAGGAAATCGAACCTTTGATATCGACCTGCCAGATTAGGGTTTTGACCTCGAACGTGGTTTTCCTCATTTTCAGCTGCTTCTGGAGCTGCTTGGACCGTCGGAGCTCCGTTCTTAGTTGTCATAGCAATTACATTTGTTTAATTTCCCCCAACGCGTCACCTTGAATACGCACTTGTTCGCGTAACTCCTCCATCTCGTGCCTCACCTCTCCTTTTCTGGTGTTAGCTTCTGGCATGATTTCCGGCTGAGAATCATCTCGCTCTGATACTAATGTTACGTGCTCACTGAAGAACAAGGATTGGGACGATGAACATTCCTTGAACTAATGTGCACAATCAAACAGAGGAATAAGAATTGAAGAAGAAGAGTATGATTATTGATAGAATACACAATTTCTCACAGATGATTACAATCAATGTCCTCTTCCTGTATTTAACCTCTTATCCCCTTCTCTAACGAGTGCTAACTGATTAACAAGTTGACTCCTAACGACTTCAACAACTATAACCGGCTATCAAATACTTGTTATAGAGAATAGACTAATATGCCCTTAGGCTAATACCCCTACAGTTATAGCTCATAACACTCATTTTCATGTTTGTTGTTGTTAAAGCACTATGTGAATAAAGTTTTTTTTGGCGACCGCTAATAGTCGCCACAAAAGTAATGCTAGTTAGCGATCTAATAAATTTTAGGGACGACTTTTGGTGGCGACCACTACAGTCGCCAGCAAAAGTATTACTACATATTACGCCTTTTTTGCAGTTGCGACCACAGTTTTAGTGGCGGTTTTTTATCGCGACACATTAGTCGCCACCAAAAAACTACTATATATGTCACGCCTATAAAGGCGAGCAAAGTTTTAGGGACGATTCTTTGGTCGCCGCCGCATATCGCCCTTTGTAGTGGCGACAAAAGTTATAGTGATGACTATTTGTGGCCACCGTTTTGTCGCCAACAAAAGTACTGTTATATATGTCACCCTTTGTCGTGGCGACCAAAAATTTAGTGACGACTACTTTTTGGCGCCCTTTATAGTGGCGACCAAAGTTTTAGTGACGACTATTTTTGGCGACTCTTTTGTCGCCAGTAAAAGTACAGCTAATATATCGGCCTTATGTAGTGACGACCAAAGTGTTTAGTAACGACTTTCGTGACGACTTACACAAAAGTTACTACTATATATGTCATGAGGAGTGACAACTATAGATACATTTCTGTGGCGACCTCAACAGTCGCCACCAAAAGTAAGCACTGATAAATGTAATCATGAATATACAAGTTTTTTGAACATTTTCAAGATTCAGCTTGTTGTAAAATGATATTATAAGAGTTACATGAGAGAATTCTAGCATATTTGACATCTCGACAGGTTATAATAATTAATACTTATGAAAAACAAATCAATATATAGGCTTAGTTCATCATCCAAATTTGTTAACCATAACTTTTAGCATTATTTAATTATTTGCTTTATTAATTTTACAAATTAATCAAAATCATACTATATGTATCTAAAATTATTTTGTGGCGCATTTTATTATTTATGTGGCAAACTTGGTCGCCACAACAACTAATAGTGAAACAATAATAATGTAACGGGGGCAAATGCACATTCATATTAGTCCAAGTCTTGATAGAAAATTTTTCACAAAAATTATTTGTAAAATAAAAATAAAAATAAAAATTATTATGATTTTCGAGGACTTATTCTTTTTCCAACAACAATAAAAAGTTTGAGCCGTATGGACTTCTCACCGTGTTTTTTTGTTAAGCATAGTCATGATAATCTACCTGTCTATTCCGCAAATAAATAGCAATTCTTTTTATTAATATGTTACATGTATGATGTTGGATCAGCAATAATGGTTTTTCTTAGACTTGAGGTACTAATTAAACCCCCGCGTAAGTTATGTCGAGTTTAACAGAGTTCAAGAAATTTCAGTGACTTTGAAAATAGTTAAGATGCAAATGGAAATGTGAAACATTACCCTAATTTTTGTATGTATAAATTTTATAAGATTTTTAGAATCAACTGAACATAGAATCACTCATGAACTAAGTATAACAACAAGAGTTATGCCTTAATCCCAAGCAAGTTACGATCAGCTATTGAATCGCCATCAGTCTAATATTACATAAGTTAATAACAATCATAATAACAAAAAAGAACTAGACGTTCTTTATATTTTCTACTGGCTGCCGGAGTTAAAGTCCAGGCAGAAAATATTGAATAAAAGAGAGGATAAATTAGTTATTGTCCTCCTAATCCTATTCCTGAGTAAATTTCACAGGTAAAATGGTATAACTCTGCCAATGGAATGGCGTCTTATTTATCAATTCACAAAGTTCTGGCACAATTTCCTCCTCTATATGCAGACCTATAAGGAAAACAAAAGAAGAGTAAAAGAACAATGGAGATTACAAAAGCAACATACCGATATAAAAACTTTAATGAATGAAGGGGATAATTAGATGGTTGTAGGGGATGCTGACCAAAGGCAAGGGGGATGAAAATCAGGTTCCAAAACGTTGGGGTGCGAGCATGAGATATGGTAATAATCATTAGTAAGGAGTGAAGATCGGAGGGGAGCTTGGCGTAACTGATAAAGTTGTCTTGGCATAACTGATAAAGTTCCTGCCATGTGACCAGGAGGTCACGGGTTCGAGCCGTGAAAATAGCATCTTGCAGAAATGCAAGGTAAGGCTGCGTACGATAGACCCTTGCGGGAGCTTAGTGCACCGGGTTGCCCTTTTTTTTAGTAAAAGAGTGAAGATCGGTGAGAAGAAGTGGTGCCGAGAAGGATTTTTTGTGCTATATGGTATTTTCAATAATTCAAGACAAAAAATTAAGAAATTATTTCTTCAAGAAAAACATGTTAGATTATGTCAAATGGAGTCACATCTAATTCTAAGAAAAAAATATAAGTTTTGGATCAGATAAACATACACTTAAATCTTTGCTTTCAGAAGTCTAGCTTTCAGCTCATCAGCCACAGCGTCGATGAACTCTTCAGTGTTCACATATTGATGTCTAGCGACCCTATAAGGTGTCAATAGAGAAAATTATAGCAATGACAGCAAAAAGGGTTAATTCGGATCAGAAAAATACTAGGAATAAGAAAGAGTAAATGAGCTCACTTGGATCCGTGGACGATAAGTGCTAGATCTTTGGTCATTTTCCCGTTCTCCACTGCACCGATGCAAGCTGCTTCTAGTTTCTTGGTGAAATCCAAGAGTGCAGCATTGTTGTCCAACTTTGCCCTGTTCAAAATACATGATTATTTGTTCAGTACTGCTATCATTAAAAATCTAACCAAAGCAATTTTTTTTCTGAATAACCGAGAAATCCCCGAGCGTCAGTGGTGCATCGCAACTTGATGGATAATGCACCTGACCCTCTACCCTTCTCCACTTAAATACCAGGTGTGCGTCTAACCCACACATCACGTACTACGCTCTTACCACCAGGCCAAAGCCTTAGGGCTCTGAGCATAGCAAATTAAGTACCAAAATGTCCTACCTATGTGCAAGTCCACGAGTCCAAGCAAAAATTGAGGCAATGCTGTTCGTGCTGGTTTCACCTCCTTTTTGATGAACCCTGTAGTGCCGTGTCACAGTTCCATGGGCTGCTTCTGACTCTATGGTCTTTCCATCTGGGCATATCTGAACCAAATATTCCAACCAAATTAGAATCCAAAATAAGGTCAATGACGACAAAACGATCAAGCAAATGATGAGCCTTATTATCTGGAAAACTCAAACTTTCTGCATTAAGAAACGATATCTCAACCAATCATTACATGAATCACGCGATAAGAGAGCATTAAAAAATCAAAGGAACTGGCTGAAGGGAAAAGTGGAAGCAGATAGAGAACATACCAGAATCGATGTCATCAATCCAAGGGATCCAAATCCTGATCAAGTAATAAACAATTTAAGAATAATTACAAGCTCATACAGGCACAAAAGTAGGAAGCAAAAGGGAAAATTAAACAAGTGTTTTTTTCCACGCCGTTTCCATATTGAAACTCCAAAATGTGTACTAGATAGATAAACCTTTAGCAAGCTGGCCACGCATACCTTGTGCTAAGAAATCACTCTGTACATCCCCGTCATAGTTTTTGCACGCCCATACATAACCACCATCACTTTTTAAAGCATAAGCAACCATATCATCGATGAGGCGATGTTCGTACCTATTTTTATGAATTCACACATTTAACAATCTCTGTCATTTACAATCATTAACAAGAACCAGTTATTGAAAATGAAAAGTTGGGTGCTTACCAGATTCCAGCTCCCTCAAACTTTAACTTCCAATTTGACTCATAAACTTCCTGGAATATGTCCTTGAATCTTCAGAAAAGATCATAAAAATCAGAAGAATCCAAAATAAAAAGGGAGGGGTGGGGAAGGAAAAGTCCTATTTAGATGGTGAATAAAGGTAGCCCAGTGCACTAAGCTCCCGCTATGCGCAGGGTCCGGGGAAGGGCCGGACCATAAGGATCTGTCATACATAGCCTTACCCTGTATTTCTGCAAGAGGCTGTTTCCACGGTTCGAAACCATGACCTCCTGGTCACATGACAACAACGTTACCAGTTACGCCAAAGCTGCCATTCAAAAGGCAGCCCAGTGCACTAAGCTCCCGCTATGCGCGGGGTCCGGGAAAGGGCCGGACCACAAGGATCTATTTAAATGGTGAATGTACAAATAAATAGAATCAGAGAAACGGCTAGCCATACCTTCCATCATATTTCTTAAGGATGGTATTCTTTGTGCTAAGATAGAGCGGCCATTTCTTTTGGTACGCCATGTTCATAGAAGCTTCAGCAAAAGAGCGAATAGACTTCACATAAAGAAAAAAGCAGCACAAGATGAGTAACTCCAGCATAATCCACTTATTTATTTTAGATACACTCAAAAGTTTCGCTAAAAACAAACCTCATCTGTGTTGTACATGGACAGAGCTACTCCACCAGCACCAGTGAAGTTGTAAACCTCGAACTCGGTCTTTTCATCCTTCCCTTCTGGTACTACAATCAGGTTCAGTACAATATCTCAGCAACATTTTCTAACAGAATCACCGAAAGTTGTAAACGAACTTGAACCAATTTACTCGTAGCCAAACTAGAGTAGAACAAACAAATAGCTAGCAGATCTCCGAAATCATACAGGTTTATGCAACTATAGAGATGAGCAAAAACTTTACCAAATACTAGTTTTAGTTTTCCAGGTCCTTGAATTACTGTATCAGTAGCTCGATATTGATCACCAAAAGCATGTCTTCCAATGCATATTGGTTTTGACCAACCTGATGTCAGCTTAATCAATGTCAGTCAAAGACAGTATCAAGTGAACAAATAACAAATATATAACTGCAGGAAGTATAATATACCTGGGACAAGTCGGGGAACGTTTTTGCAAAGGATTGGTTCCCTGAACACGGTACCTGCAACAAAAACCAATAAGCATCGCTACCTTCAATTCTAACATACAATGATATCACCTACCAAAATTGGCAAGTGAAGATGGAGATTTACCATTCAGAATGTTCCTAATTGTCCCGTTTGGGCTCTTCCACATATGCTTCAAGTTAAACTCCTTCATTCGGCCCTCATCTGCAAAGAACTTATGATTTTCTCAAACTTTTATATGCCCTCAGACAGTATCAAGTGAAGTATGATTTTCTCAAACACGTAAAATTTATTTTAAAGATTAAAGAATAGATGTCTGATATCACACTGTAATTAGATGGTTTAACCCTTGTACTCTGAATACCATTTGTAACATGAAATAAACCACAGGCAAAAAGTAAGCACCTGGAGTGATGGTTGCACACTTAATTGCTACATTATACCTGCAATTTTTATTAGTTAAAAAATAATAAGGCTGGGCATATAAAGAGTACACGTTCAGTAATCCATGGAAAGATTAGGAAAAGACAGTGTATGAGCTTGCTCCTAAAACAGACATTCTTTCATTAAGTAGAAACTAAAAGAAAGAACGAAATGAATACATACTTCAAAGTAGCCTCAGCACTTTCAACTGTAACCTTATCATCTGTGGCATCACGGTGAGGAACACCAAGATCGAAGTATTTTATATCCAACTCCAGAAAGGGAAAGATGAGCTAAAGCATACAAGAGAATTCATATATCAGCAACTGTGAAATGAACACGATGAGATAGACACGAATATTGTACGGACATATACATAAGCCAGCAACTTGTTACCTTATCCTTAATTAATTTCCAAATGACACGGGTCATTTCATCTCCTGCATCACATAGCCAGGAGGAGAAACATAAGAAAATTAAAATATACATTTCTGTTAAGAAGAACCAATGAGTAATGTGGTGGACCAAACTAATTTATCAGATATAACGTACAATGTGAACTCTTATTGTTTTTTCTACTTTCATCATACTTTGCAGGTAGATTATCATTTCACCATGCTCCTTTACTATGACAATACTCAAAATTTTCAGCCCCATTGGAGATTAACTTAAAGTTTTCTAACTTAAGAATTCACACTTTTGTAAGTCTTCACTTACAAAATTTACCATGAAAAAACAGATTTGGTGGATCATTATTAACAAGAGTTCAGAAGTTAAACATTTTTTCATAAGGAATTAGAGCACTTGTATTCTTCTAGACAATCAGTATAAACATGAGCAACAACAAGGTCGAAGATCCCCACAAGATAATAGCGGAATAGTGTATAAAATGCAGAAAGATACCAGAGATATTTTTTTCCAAAGGCTAATATAGAGACCCTCTGTGACACCCTAGACAAATACCACATTGACAAAACAGAAACGAGATACTGGGTTTATACAGAAGCAAGCCGTAGACCTTATGACGCGTTTAATAGTTGTGCATTCTTAGGCCAAAAGTGGACAATATTACTAGTGAACTAGGCTGTCACATATGGTATCAGATGGATTCCGCATGCAACCTTAAGCAGTGGTGGGGTAAAGTTTAGCGAGATCCTAACGCGAGGTGTATGTAACACCTTGGGCCAATCCCACATTAACAAAACACAGAGAAATGTTGATATATACATAGAAACAGGTCTTAGACCCTAGTGATGTAAACCAAAGGGACCAGACTGCCACGATCAAGGACGTGGTGGAAGCTAAAATGAATGCCAAACTAGAGCAGTTAGAACAAGTGTGTGTATCAAACAACCCTCTACAAAGTTCGCTGATTATGTATGGGATGGGGTTTAGGAGCCTGGGAGGCGTGATTCAATTTGGAGATGATGGTTAGTAAAGACGCAATGGCTAGGAGTAGTTCGACAGATAGACATTTGGCGAGATATTTACTTCCTCGTCTTCCTTTGAATTCCCATCCCATTCTACCTGTCTTCATTATTTTTGCATTCAGTTGTATTACAGTATTACTTCTCCAGCCAATTGAATTTCCTTATTCTTAGTCAAGTAGCTCCTACACTTACTGACGCATTTTAAAGCCATTCAGACTTATGCTCAAAACAGACAATCTCACTAGTGGACTGAGTTGTTTCACCCGTTCCACCCAGACAAGAAATAACACAAAAATCAATTCCTGAACAAGAGCCAGTACATAATCTTATGAAATCACAACCTCTAAAAATTAGTGAGTATAGTGAATAAAAATGCAAAAAGGATTCCAGAGATATTCTTTCCAGTACTTAAGAAGAAACCATTTTCCCCAAAAACAAGAAACATCATAAAAATCAATTCTTGAACTAAAATCAGTACATAATTAAGATATTTAATCAATTCTTGACCTAAAATTAGTCCATAATTAAGATATTTAGAAACAAGAAACAGCATAAAAATCAATTCTTGAACTAAAATCAGTACATAATTAAGATACTTAGAAACAAGAAACAGCATAAAAATCAAGTCTTGAACTAAAATCAGTACATAATTAGGATTTTACAGCTTAATGAGACTGAAGCAGCTTTTTGTACACATAAATTTAAGGGCAGCCCGGTGCACTAAGCTCTCGCTATGCGCGAGTCCAGGAAGGGCCGGACCTTTCCACGGTTTGAACCCGTGACCTCCTGGTCACAAGGAGGCAACTTTTCCAGTTACGCCAAATCTCCCCTTTGTACAAATAAATTTCAAGCAATTTTAAGAAAGTAACATACAAGAGAAGATCAGATAATCAAATGAAAAAAGAAGCATAAAGATCTAACCGTCCATTTCAACTATGGGATTAACCACTTTAATCTTTTGAAAAGCCATTTCTTCCAAAGAATTGAGATTAAGAACTGGAAATTCTGGTGATATATGATAAGTATGGAAATAAAGGGGTATAAATGGAGTTTGGTAAAGAAAGCTTCGTCGGCCAAAGAAGTTTGAATTGTAGTTAGGAAATTGAGAAGACAGTCTACTTTGGAAAGGTCGAAGTTTTGAAGGTAAGTGCGAAATTGACATAAAAACAAGAAAAGAGGACATTTTTGTGGGTACAGCACAATGAATATTCAATTTCGTTCTTAACAACCTTATTTTTTTTTTATTTTTTTTTTTTTTTTTTTTTTTTTTTAGCACCCCCTATCTGGCACGCCAAGACGTGTCATAAAGGGAAGTGCAATCACATCCACTGCACCAGAATACAATACTAAAAGACCAAACACATAATAATTTTTTTATGTTTTTCGAACAATTTTTACTTTTTTCCGAAATTAGTGTTTGGCCATAAAATTTTTAATTTTTACTTGAAGATGAATTTTATAATTTTGCAAAAATTTGAAAAATTTCAAAAAGCTATTTTTCATAATTTTCACTTAGATCACTAACAAAACTTCAAAAACAATCCAAAATTATATTCATATTCAAACACAACTCTAATTTTCAAATACCATTTCAATTTAAAAAAAATTCATTCTTTAGGAATCTTACAATTCTTATGTCCAAACGACCACTAGTTTTTTTTTTCCGTAAAATTCCACTTACTAAATCAACCCAACAAATATTGAACGTGTCACACGTGATAGATATACAGTTTTTTAAAATATGATCTTTGGGTGCCCACCTCAGTTAATACGGTTTTTTAAAATCACATAATCCTTCTGGTCCACAATAAGAGGTTTTTTGATCTTTTTTGTGATGCAGAATATCTGATTTTTTCAAATTTCAAAAATATTAATTATTTTTTTTCTACATTGCCCCTGGAGTAAATAGTATTGGAGTATGTGTTAGCAGTATTTATGTGAAGAGACAATTAAGGTCAATATGGCCAATTTCATTGCTAATTAATATTAAAAAGTAAATTTCTTAATCTATGCGAAAACAACCAAAAAATCACTTATTGTGGACTGAAGGGAGTTGATAGTCATGTTTGAGTTATAAAATAGAGTATAGTTTATGAGTTCACGGGAACCCGTTAGCTTTTGCGCAGACTATATATTTGTATTAAGAAATTCACTAAATGTCTATAAATATTTGATTGTGAACCCAATTGTTATTGTATGTATTAACTTGTGATTGCTATAGAAACCCATAAACTTCAAATCTTGAATCCGCCTCTGTTTTTAATATATTTCCTATTTTTGTTCTAGACTAACCCTCTTTAAGTTTGTAGGCGTATAAAATTTATGGAATTAAATTCATAAATTAATTTGGACTATATTTTAAATTCAAGATATATTGGTCCAAATAAATATTATGGGCTGATATAATTGGATTAATTATGTAAGTCAAGCATGTATGGATTAAATAAATAAGTCTTAATCCATTAGGCTAGCCCATTAATTTGGCTAAAGTGATGGGCCCACTTTATTAAGCCCAAGATGTCATCTTCCTAGAGGCCCAGTTTGGTGCCACGTGTCAAATGACGTGGCACGCCAAGTCAAACGGAAGAGCCAATAGGATCATGCCATGTGTCAAAATGACAAACATGCCCAGTCACACTGAAAGGCCAATGAAATCGTGCCACGTGTGCAAGTGACATGTTCTGGCCAATCAAATGCGGCCATGTCACCCTTCAATTTGATTGGTCGGAAAGAGTTTGTTCTTATCATGACTCTTCCCTTCCACAACTATAAATAGGGGTCTTCATAACTCAGAAAAGACACCAGTTATAACAAGAAGCAAGAGAGAGCTCGTGGATCAAACGCTGCAAATTCCTCCACAAGTTTCAAGCTTCAAGTTCAAGTTCAAGAAATCAAGTTCAAGCTCAAGAACGAAGAACAAATCAAGTTCAAGCTCAAGAAAGAAGAACGAATCAAGGTCAAGTTCAAGCAATCAAACTCAAGCTCGAGAACAAGATCATCGTTCGTGGCAACAAACATAGATTCAAGATCAAGCTCAAAGGCCCTTGAATTTATTTACTACTGAAAAAAAGAATCAGAGGATTCATAGAGATTGTAACACTCAAATATTTGAAATAAAAATACTACGATTGTTGCAATATTTTTCGGTCTTGATTTTATTTTCTCGACGCAAATTTATTGTCTACAAATTCTGGCACGCCCGGTGGGACAATCTCTACCTCTCATCTCAACTTTTCAATCACCAAAGTTCAAGAACATTGAAATGGCTTCAAAGAAAATCAACTCCGTTTCAACTTCCACCAAAGCTGCTAACTCCAGGTTCTATGCTGATGTGGAAAGCATCCTCGACGTTAACTTTGGAAGCTTCGGACCAGTTACGAGGAGCAAAGCAAGCTCTTTAGGACAACAAGCACCCCAAGTGCCGTCCGCGTCAACCCCTGTTTTCGGATCTTCATCCTCAAAAGGAGCAAGATCTTCCACAAACGCATCTGAAGGAGGAAGCGATGTTGCTGAAAAGATCAAGAAAACTCTTGCTCTGCTTGACCTCTCCGGATCCAAGCACTCTGCTATGAAGGAAGATGATGATGCTTCAAGTGATGGATCCTCCCCACTTACACCACATAGCGTGAGCCGATCAAGGATCAATCTGTGTGAAAATCCATGCTACTATCCGTCGTCCACGACAATTATGCAAGCTATGGTGACAAATACTTCATCCGTAGAGGAGCAGTTGGCAAACTTGACGGAAGCAATCGCTGGCTTGACCAAATGCATGCAAAATCAAGAGGCTAGAATTGATAAGCTAACAGACAGGGTGGGAATCTTGATGGAAGAAGAATCCACCCATGCACCCGGCAAGCTCCCAGAAGTTCTAGAGAGTGACTCTCCTCCAAGACAGGCAGCATCCACTAAGGCTATCCCTGTTTCATCTGAAGGAATGATTCCAATCGATCAACTGAAGGAGTTCATTGAAGGAACCATTAAGAACAAATATGAAGTTGCTGCCAAATCCTCCCTTACGTATGCAAAGCCGTACACTTCAAGGGTCGATATGTTGAAGATGCCTTCAGGCTATCAACCTCCAAAGTTTCAACAGTTTGATGGTAAAGGTAACCCAAAGCAACATGTGGCTCACTTCGTGGAGATGTGCAACAATGCTGGGACTTATGGAGATTACCTCATCAAGCAATTTGTCCGCTCGCTAAAAGGAAATGCTTTTGACTGGTACACAGACCTCGAGGCTGGATCTATCGATAGTTGGGATCAGCTAGAGCAAGAATTCCTCAATCGCTTTTATAGTACGAGACGTATTGTGAGTATGATAGAACTTACAAATACTCGTCAACGAAAGGGGGAACCAGTTATCAACTTTATCAATCGTTGGAGGAATGCAAGCCTCAACTGCAAAGACAGGCTTAGTGAAGCTTCAGGCATAGAGATGTGCATCCAAGGCATGCATTGGGGATTGCGCTACATCTTGCAAGGTATCAAGCCTAGCACATTTGAAGAACTTGCAAATCGTGCCCATGACATGGAATTGAGCATGGCCTCCGCTGGAAATGAAAGGCTGCCCATCTAACCTCGCAAAGCAAATGACAAGCAAGAAGTCAGGAAGTGGGGCAAGTTCATACCCAAGTCTGAAAGCAAAGAAGCTATGAATGTCAACACGTCACCTATGAAGTTCACGACGAAGGTGAGCAAGAAGCAGAGTATGAAATCCATTTCTTTTCACGATAAGCCAAGTGGAAAGTTGAGTTTAAAAGAAATGCAAGAGAAAGAGTACCCATTTCTAGATTCCGATGTGCCAGCTATCTTTGAAGAACTCCTTGAGTTAAATCTCATTAAGCTTCCAGAGATGAAGCGGCCGAATGAAGCTGGGAAAACAAATGACCCAAACTACTACAAATATCACCGACTTGTAAGCCACCCTCTGGAGAAGTGCTTTGTCTTTAAGGACAAAGTCATGGACTTGGCTCGCGAAAAGAAGATCGTGCTTGAAGATGAGAGAGCAAGCGCAAACCAAGTCTCTATCACCTTCGGCTCATTTAGTCCGGATGAATTATGCGGTGTTAAAGAAAGTAAAAATGAAGAATTACTGGAGAAAGACAGAGTTGAAGACGATCAACCTGATGATGATGAAGGTTGGACGTTGGTGACTCGTCGTAAGCGCCACAAAAGGAGCCCACGAAAAGAATTATTGGAACAACCAACAAGGAAGATGATGGTAAAAAGACCAACGAAAAAGAATCCAGTTAGGTATTTGAAGAAAGCAAAAGTGGAGATGTACCAACCTCAAAAACCACGAAATCCAGTGACCTTGGAGGAGTTTTTACCAAGTTGGTTCCGCACGAAGATTTCCCATGAGGGCATTGATGCCTCTTGTTGCCACGCTGACAAAGGGGAAGAAAAGAGTGATGACCTACCGTTGGAACCATCTTCGGAAAAGCCTATCGAGTCCACTCCTCAAGAAGTTAATGCTTGTGAGGAAAAGGTCACATTCACAAATGACGATCTTTTGCTAGGTAACACTCCTCATAACCGCCCATTGTACCTGGTTGGCTATATGCGCGATGAAAGGGTAAATCGGATTTTGGTTGATGGAGGATCCTCAGTGAACATTTTGCCAATCCACACTGTGAAAGAACTTGGTATTCCCATGAACGAACTCTCAGAAAGTCGTGTGATGATCCAAGGATTCAACCAAGGGGGCAAAGAGACATAGGCGCGATCAGGCTGGGAATCACTATTGAAGATATGCAATCAAGTGCACGGCTGCATGTGATCGACGCGAAAATTTGTTGTTACAAAGTTATAAAAGTAGTATTGTCTTAGTTGTATACAAGTTAATTTGGTTTGACTTATTGTAAAAAAGTAATCCCAGAAAATAACGATTGATTGAATTATAGATACTTTATACAATTTAAATAAGAAAGCATTAATACATAGAATCTACTTAATTTTGAAGTCTTAAATATTAGGAAAATAATTAACTAATTATTCTTATATATGAAAAAAATAATTAAAATAATTATTTTGTCTAGTATGAAATTTAATTTTAAACGGTAAAAAAAGAAAACGGTATATCGTTAAGGGCCTTCTTGATTTTAATATAATATAGATTAATCGAACCAATTTGCATATATCTTGACTATTTTATGGGGTATTTGTTACTTTCTGGAAAAACAAA